CACACAGCTATAATAATATATGTAGGAAGTGGGAAATGGCCATTTGTATAGGTGACTGTCTTGGGCTGGTGACGTTGATAAGTTTCCAGTCTAAGTAAGCATTGTAAGTAGGTGTGTTCATACACACACAAGCGACAAATGGGCCTATGTTTAGCTGACGCGACTTTGAAGAAACGGATATTTTTTAATGCTATGCGACATGATATCTTTTGATGTGCTGGCAGGGCTACTTCAGCGGGCAATTCAAAAAGCTACCTGTCTGAGCAAGTAAATAGTAGGAGAGGCCGTTGTACGAACACGGACATCTTGAACAAAGGAATCGTGGTTTGTGGTTATGGACATTTGGACATTCTTGTTTCGCCATCCGTTTTGTCATTCAAGTGACATGCATAATTTTGCATCCGTTCTTTTTTCTTCTCGATAAGGTTTTCATCGTAGCGAGTAAATAAAGGCTAGGCACTGTACCAGGGAGATCGATCTCCTCGAAGATATTAAAAAAAACCGTTTCTCCAAATATGGGGTTCTTGTCAACACATGCTCTACTGTAATAGGTGTCTACTGACTAGGACACTGGATTTGACCTCTGTGATCACTTACGCTTTTATTTTTATTTTTATTACTATTTGAGGGTTGGAGTGCGTCGTTGCGCCCTGTCTTTGGAGGGAATCTGGGACTTTTTCTGTAATGGATGAGATTCAGAGAAAAAAAAAAGCTTCTGTTTGTTGTTACGTCAGATCCACTATTTTGTTTTCAATGTTCTTTTCACTTAAAATTATTTCTCTAAGAGACTCCACTAGCCTCTGCCATACGGTAACCGATCTGTTTACTTCTCTTTCTATGTAAACTCAGCGGTAATCTGTTGACTTATTTCAATGGCAGATTCCAAAATGGGTTTACAGTTCACCGATTTTAAGTGCATGTTAATACCTCTATGACTGACACCTAACTGTTGCACCATTTCTTCCTCTCTATAGTCTGAAAGACTTGGGGAAACAAAAATCCGGAACCGGTAGTTATCCTGCACGTAGGCAGCCTGTTCTTCGTTAAATCGACCCCCCCCCCCCATACTCAAAGTAAATTTGCTCTGACATTAAAATTAAACCAAAGAAACAAAAAAATCTGATCTTTCAGCTTCCCCGCGACGCCTGCACGTCGGGTGAGGACAAAAGGTAACTTGATATCTAGGAGTCCGTCAAAGCTCCGACGTCACGCAGCAAAGTGGAGACTGCCATTTTGTATGCACGTTGGTGGATCTGCCGGGAGCACCACCAACCCCAGGCAGACTGTTTGAGTTTTGGCTATTAATTGCCATCTTTGAAAAGAAGATGTCAGAGAAGTGGGGTTCGTTTCAAAGATGTTCCTTGGACTTGAAATAAAGCTGACAGAACATAAATTCTTAAAAAAAATATATAAAAAATTAGAAAAAAACCTCCCAGACCTACTGGTCGCTTCAGAGCTGATGCATAGAAAGTTTAGGATTTTAAAAAATCCCAGATTATAAAGAAAGAATCCGATCAAAACAGGTAATGCCTGGGCGATACACATTTTGT